ACAAAGTATTTGTTCAGCTTGCCAAATAAACGCAAAAAATTGCAATTGTATGCAAAAATTGCACAATGTATTTCATTTAACACATTATCTAATTTTTTAAGAACACTATCGTTTCCTTAAACAAACCGGTAAGTGTCCCCTTTTTCTTTGATACCAACAAACATTATTCTACGCTAGTCGTTGTTCTCTTTATATTATATTTATTTGTTGAGCGATAAAATAAAAAAATACGTATTATTCAAATACAAAGGTGACTTTATCTTGTACACACAAGGTGTACCAACAATTCCGAAAATTAAACAAAATAATATCCAAGGAAATGTTATCTGCAACTATTTATTCAGGTTTGCTCGTTTTAAGTTTTATATATGTATTTATTTATTTAAACATAAAATTGATATCAGATTCATACCCCCCTTATGATTGTTTATCTATAAATAAATAAGAGGAACAAAAATAAAGAAGATTGCAAATAAAAAAGAAGTAAAACCATTTATTGACATACATATTAAATATTTGCTGAAAATTGGCTATATTAAGTATTAAGTTTAATAAACGAAGCCGACAAGCGAGTGTTTAATAACAACGAGTGTCTATGCAAGTTTATAAACGAGTTGCATAATATACTTGTTCTACTACCACCTTCAAAACGCCCATTATCCTACATGTTTCCATGATACACTGTATTTTAAAAGATCACTTAGTATATAAGACTGTGCCGGCAGTAAACTAGATGAAGCATTAAAAATGCTGCGTGGAAACTCTACCGTTTAGTGCCCATAAAACATTCTCTTTACTTGATACATAACATACTATTACTATTACTATTACACTACAACAAACACAAAGAAACAAAGAAGAATTTATTTATTTATTTTATTTTTCTAATCATATTAAAGAATTTCTACATTTCCTATACTTTATCAATTGAGAAAGTGGCTTAATTTTAAACTGTGGAGAAAATTGATCTCTTTATCCACGGTTACTGTCTAATAGGAGGAGGAGATTTTAATTTTCTCCACTTCTATATTACCATTACTATGACGATTATACGGTCGTTCATTATTTTCTTAAAAATTAATTTACATTGACATTTCTCATGGAATCTGCGGTTATACCGGGTGTATCTGAGAATAGGCGCACCACTGTAACTTTTTTATTTATAAAGATAGACACATGAAATTTACAGAGTACAAAATGAATTTTTTGAACTTCCGGTTTCGCCGGAAATGATACCAACTTTAGATTTTTAAATGGAATGCTCTATATATTTTTATATATTTGGAATCCTGAGGAAATTCTGAGTCAGACAGCATCCTCAAATTGAACTTTTGACGTTTCGTCATCAGAAAATGCATCATCATAAAGATCAATCTAGAGTGCTTTAAACTAATTTTGACAAGTTTAGACTGCTGGGAATAGCTGAATAACAACTTTCTAAGGCAAGTTCCATTTTTCATTGTGTGAATCCATTAGAAAAAAATAAGATAGTTTAAAGCACTGAGATTGATCTTTATGATGATACATTTTCTGATGGCGAAACTTCAAAAGGTCAATTTGAGGATGCTGTCTGACTCAGAATTTCCTCAGGATTCAAAAGTTTAAAAACCAATTTATATTCTAATTAACCATGCAAAATTTCATGTGTCTATCTTTATAAATAAAACAGTTACAGGGGTGCACCTATTCTCAGATACACACGGTATATAAATAGTGTTCAACTCTGTTAAACCTTTGACATCTATCAACTGTCAGACGAACTTTAACCTCACTTTTCACCAATTTATAATAAGGCTAACTTCAGCCTGTGACTAAAAGCCCAAAAGCCACTGTTGGTAACCTCAGCCCGTGATTAAAACGCCATAAACTCAAAGATCTATGCAAAATTTTTGGGAATAATTGTTAATGCTAACTGACTTTTTTAATAATACTAACATAACGTGTTGCCAAAATTGTACAAAAATAATAATAAAAGTTATAATAATTAAAGAAAAAAAGAAAAAAATAAAACATAAAAAAAATTTCGCCCCCGGGTGGGCTCGAACCACCAACCTTTCGGTTAACAGCCAAAATTCCAAATTCCAAATTCCAAATTAATTTATTTAACAATAATACATGATAAATTTTGTAAACTGCCTAACTATAAAGGTATAAAGGTACAAAGGGGTTTGAATTTAGAGAATTTAATAATTTTGGTAATTTTGGTAATTTTGAGGTAATCCTGTAACAGCCGAACGCGCTAGCCAATTGCGCCACGGAGGCTATTGTATGATATATGATATTAGATGCATCTAACAAAACTATATTTTGATAATAATTTATTAGGAAAAATTTCCTATAGAAATATCCGTGGACCGTTTAAATTATTAAATAAATTACGGTAATTTAAGTAGCAATAGGTTTTGTTAGTATTTTAGTCCTTCTTGTAGATAGTTCAAAAAATGGCGAATACGCGGGGATATATGTACAGGGTGATCCATTATATATGTCCACCCCCCCTAACTTTTTTCTTTAGATTTTAGAAAAAAAAGTTTTATATAAAAGTTGTAGGGTTCAACTAAAAGTTTTTTTTCGTGTTATGTTTACGTATACAGGGGGATCCAAAAAAAATAACAGATAAAAACATATTTTTTTCCTATGGAATGACCTATATTTTATATCCTTATGTAATAGCTCTTTAAACGCTGATTTCAAAAACATATATGACATTATGGATATTTTTAATATATATGGCAGAAAATGCCAAAAACTGAAATTTTACTTAGGCCATGGGTCGTCATTTTTTCATTCGTCGTTTCATTATTTGTTTTGACGTCTTTATTGAGTGATTTTCTTAGAAACACATTTGTTGAACTGTTTAATATTTAATATTTACCATATAAACAATAACAATAATTATTAATAAAACTATAAAACCTACTTGGGGGTGGACATTTATAATGGATCACCCTGTACCTACACGGTGATAATTAATTTTAGGAAGTAATAGAGCCTCAATAATAAATTCCAAAGATAACTTTCAAACTACTTAATCAACTTTCAATTTTGCACACAATTTAATGTAGTTAATTTCTTAGTTAGGTATGATGTGGATAATTATTTAAAAACATGTCAGTGGCGCCCCTTTTCACCTCAATAGAGAGAAAAAAATAAGTACAGTGTTTATTTATGCGCAGGACCACTTGGGTATTTTTAATTTAAAATAATAAATTGTGTGCAGAATATTGATCACTAAATTGATCACTGTATCTGTATACACTGTATACTATACAGATACCATTATTGCGCAGAATGCTTAATATAAAATGTCAATGTCAGTGTACAGGGTGATCCTCTATAATGTCGCCCCCTTTTAACTTTTTTATTTTTAGTGTCCCAAAAAATTTAAAAGTGTAGGTATTAAAAAATACTTTTTTTCTACGTATAAAAAAAATTGGAAAATTGATCAGTATGATCAGTAAAACAAAAAGTTTATTTTTTTTTTCAATGGATCACCCTATGTATGTATTTATTTTTCGATTCCTTGTCTTTCTTTGTCTGAGTACGCCATTTTTACTTATTTAACAAGACATATTGACATAATGTCACTATAGTAATTTATTTTCAATAAAAATTTTGGTATACTGAGGCTTCTTGATTTCTAACAGTTTCAAAAAACATTTAATGATAACATTTCGAATGCGAATATTTCAGAAACGGTTGAGTTTAGGTAGGTACATGGTTTGTTATATGAATTAGGCTCAGAATTTTATAAGGAATCGAAAAATAAATTCATATATAGGGTGATCCATTGAAAAAAAATAAACTTTTTGTTTTTCCTGTATATTGATCAATTTTCAAATTTTTTTTATACGCAGAAAAAAAGTATTTTTTAGTACCTACACCACACTTTTAAATTTTTTGGGACACTTTAAATAAAAAAGTTAAAGGGGAGCGGCATTATAGGGGATCACCCTGTACCATTTAAAATCATACAATTTCTAATAAAACATCACGGGTTACTTTGATAACAACAGTAGTGTATATATAATATGCAACTCGTTTTATAAACTTCTCTATAGACACTCGTTTTTTTTTAAACACTCGCTCGCAAGCTTCGCTCGTACCTACCTAATAAAACTCGTAACTAAAATGGCGTTTATAAAACTTGATGCATAATGTACTATTATCTACTCCCACATTGACGAGCTGTGTCTTTATGGCGTTTTAGTCACGGGCTGAAGTTAGAAATAGGGGCTTTTGGGCATTTTAGTCACAGGCTGAAGTTACTTTTACTATAAATTAAGGAAAAGTGAGATTAAATCCGTTAAGAGTTGAATTCTTCTTTGTGTTCGTCGTAGATAAATTATAGTATGCAATTCGTTTTATAAACTTCTCTTGACACTCGTTTTTATTAAACACTCGATCGCAAGTTTTGTTTGTAACTAAAATGTTGTTTATAAAACTACATAAAATACTATATTGTATTCTTAAATATTAATAAATAATTTTTGAAAATAAAGACATGAAAAAATTTAAAATCCAGATTAGATGGTTAAAAAATAATATTTTGACAATAATAAAGATACAATAAAAAGGTATAGGAAAATTAAAAAAAAAAAGTACATTCAAATTGTTTTTTAACCTATTCAAAAATTGTTCCTTCGTTTTGTTAAAATTTATTTATAGTTCAATTATTTTAGATCACCTATAAACGAATTGCCCTTTATTTTAGGCCTAAATTTAATAAGATTTTTTAGAAAATATAAATAAATATTGATTAATTAAACATAAATTTATTATAAATACATATATACAATTAATTTGGTTTATATTAAGGATTTTATTATTATTTTCTAATGCAGTCTATTTATAAATAGACAGGATTAGAAAATAATAAAGGGAGAAACTATCTTATTAAAATACTTAATATAAACTAAATTAACTGTTTCTAACAGACCTAACACTATATAATTATAATTATTATAATAGAAAACAACACACAATCTTCAAAAACTCACCTTAATCTTTTGGCCTCATCTATGAAGGGCCTCTTCTCAGTCTCACTTAGCAGTTTCCACTCGGCACCAAGTCTTTTCGAGATCTCCGAATTGTGCATCTTGGGATTCTCTTGTGCCATCTTCCGGCGCTGCCCTCTTGACCACACCATGAACGCGTTCATGGGCCTCTTGATGTGCTCCTGGCTCATCACCGGCTTCGGAGAAGACATGGCTCACTGGATTCTCAACTCGAACGTAACAGTTTCAGAACATTTCGCAGTGTCTTGTTCGGTATTATGTCAGATGTAAACTAAACTAAAGTCACGCCGCAATTTCGAAAGGTCTTCCCCGTCGCGGCGGCGGTGAGCGTGGAGGGGAGGGATTGTTGGAGGCGGGGTGTGCGTCGAATTATTCAAATTTTACCACGAGATTATAATGTATTAACGTCTATTATGTCGCTATCCGGTTTCGGGTTTTTTTTGGCAAGTTCGGTGGTGAAGTCAGATCTATTGGAAGTAGGTAATTGGTTGAGAAGTTGTTGTGGGACAATGGGAGATAAATTATTAGGTTGTTTTATTGTATACCTAATAAACTGTTTTTTTTATTTATCACATCCTTACTAAACAATAGCATAGTAATAAATACAAAAAAATATTAGTTTATTGACAGGACAAAAATTATAACTCGCGTATAAATAGACATGCAATAAAATGCAGGATATAAAAAGCCAATTTATAAAATTTAAAAAAATAATTTTTTTAAATATTTCAAACTTAGATCTCCAAAATCATATAAACGAAAAAAACACAAGTAATATTTTATAGCGAAAAATTTTCAAATAATTTAGATAAAAATATTAATTTAGATAATAATTTAGATGATACTTATTAACAAATTTGAAATTTTTCTTTTAAAACGAAATTAGGCATTTTATTGCTTTGGTAAGATTTGTAATAGATTTTTAGCATTTTTTTTTTTAATATAAGCAATTGTTAAAAGTCATATACAATATTGGAAATTAAAGAATAATAGTATAAAAATTAGTAGATTGATCTAAAAAATTTGTACTATTATTCTTTCATTTCCAATATAATTCATGATTTTTAACGATTATTTAGGTTTTTTAAATGCTTTTAATTTATTATCTTAAATCTATTACGTAGTACCTAATATAATTAAGATTAATATTTTCTTAATTCTTTAAAAAAAAGCAGCTAATTATAAAAAGTTCAAAACATTAAATTTTCTGAGGACGTTGTTAATTATAAGTTATAATGAAGTTTTGGTAATTTAAATTTTATTTCTTTACCCATTATAAAAATTGTTAACTTGAGTTTGTAGTTTTATTTTGTTTTGTAAATTTTAACATATTTTTTTGTAGAAAAGCAGGGTTTGTAATTATTTTAACAAAGCAAAATATTTGACCAAAAATTTTATAAAGATAATTTTGTAAGCATTTTGTTAATTTTAAAGGACACAGGTTATTTTGTTAATGCTTAACAAATTATTTTGTTGCAAAAGTACACGTGATTTCAGGCAGCCAATCAAAACATTTCCCACTGACAATTTGCATCAACAAGTTTAACTGACTTCAGCATCTGCAACTTATGTTTCTGCTTACTTTATTCTAATTCGTAACGTGTTTGTAACAAGTGCTCAGAGTGTTTAATAATAATAATAATAATAATAATAATAATAATAATAATAATAATAATAATAATAATAATAATAATAATAATAATAATAATAATAATAATAATAATAATAATAATAATAATAATAATAATAATAATAATAATAATAATAATAATAATAATAATAATAATAATGTTTATTTCAAGAAATTTTTCGTACAAAAGAAAATGCAATACAAATATTAAATGAAATTTGGTCCAGACAATACATTTCCTAATGATTTAAAAATTCATTCAAATCATATGGTTCAATATGCATCAGCAAGTTATAAATGCCAGTTTTAAACTTTATAAGGTTTCCTTCAATTTGAATATTTGTTGGTAGTTTATTGAAACATGCAACCGCCGAATAGTAACAACTTTTCTCAAAAGTACTCAGTCTATGCTTAGGATAGTTGTAACCGGAGGATCTTGTAGTAGTGTTTCGTTTTAGGTGTTCAAAGTTGGACTTATTTTTGTGTGCAAATACTAAAAGTTCATAAATATATAAACCGGTCGCGGTCAAAATACTTTTGCATCTAAAGTATCCTCTACACAAATCAGTATTCCCTAAATTGCTCAATATACGAATTACACGCTTTTGTATTAACCAAACGTCTGAAACACTACTACTTCTGCCCCAAAAAATAATGCCATACCTAAGCAGAGACTGAAAATTTGCAAAGTAAATGGTCTTTAGAGTTTCATTATTTACATATTTCTTTAGTACCCTAATTGAATATGCTACACTGTTTAGCTTTTGGCTGAGTTGTGCTAAGTGAGTATTTATAATATATTAATAGAAATCTGTTATTATTGTTATTCGGGAACCTTATACCAATTTAACGAGTGTGTGAAGTGCGAAGTATTCGAAAAGATGACATCACTGGTTTTTAAACTGAAATTAGGGGATACAGTGAAATGGGTTAAAGTTACGAAATACATCAGTAAGTGTTGTAGTAGTACTGATAATTATATTGTACGAAATTTCTTTATAATTTGATGAATTCAGAGTGACCCCATGGGGTATTATTTAATTTTGTTTATGTTATTTTTGTGTCCATTTATGTAGATAATATCTACACAAAAATAACATACACACATACTGGATAACATACACACTACTAGATTTGTCTTAATTTTTATGTTTAGGAAATTGAATAATAAAGCAATAATTCTTATCAAAACTCTTTTCATTTAAGTTCCCAATTTCCCACAAATACTTTTGTTAATGGGTCTACAAAAAGGTTTGTAAAAATAAGTTCCTTTTTAAAAATTACAAGAATTATGGTTGAATTATTGATATAGGATTTTGTTTTTAAAGACGGGTTTATACAACAATTGATAGTTGATAATAGTGGACAATTTATTTCATAACTCAATTGTTAATTTAATGCATAATTATTAGATAAATACATAACTCTAAAATTTGGTTTATACAATTTATTAATTTAATGATTTTTAAATGTCAATATTGCCAAGTGACACTCAATTTCCCTGATTTTTTTGGTTTCTGTGATTTATTTTATTTTATCAATAAAAATAGTTGAGAAAGAGTGAACTTCACTGAGTGAAGTTTACAAAATGAAAACAAAGAATGAAAAAATGCAAATCTTAATCCTTTATTATTTATTATTATTAATACCTCTTTTTGTCTGCAACTACAGGCTGTAGTCTACAGCAGCTGTAATTGCGAAACCAAGGTCCAAAGATTCAAAAGACGGTAAAGTCAGACCAATAAATAGAAATAGAAAAACTAAGTAGTAAACTTACCTAATCCAAAACTATAAACATTATTTCAAAAAAAACAATGTGGTAATATTCATAACCTTTCAATATTATTTAAGTATAATTTATTTCATAAAAGTTAAATTTTATGAACTTTCAAGGTTATTCGATGTACTTACACTAAATTGTGAGTTACTGATTAAATCGTTGTATAAACTGTTTCATATCAAATAGTGCGATTTAACTTTTATTCTTATGCACTAAATTGTGAATTATGAAATAAATTAATGATATGAAGTTGCCATAAATCTACAAAATATTTATTATAATTTCAAACTACTTATTCAATTAGTTAACAGATTACACATAAAGGTATGTGGACCTGCGTTAACAAAAAATTTGGTTAAAATTTATAAATATTTTTTTTATGTGTTAAAAAAAATGTCAGCCATGTTAACTTCATCTCGCTGCAGATGCCTTGTTTATTTGGTTTCCATTAAGATCATTTTAAGATGTATGATATTTCCGCTTTGGTTGTAATTTATGTAGTTTAAGCCTTTTATATATTTTTTACTTTATATTCACGTGCTTTTTTATTTATATTTTAACGTAGGTAATATTTTAAACAATATTTATAAACATTTTAGGGTACTCTAATATTTTGTATGCTTTTTATTAATGGGTACTTTAAAGTTAACAACTACAAATTTTGTAACAACAATTTCAAACCAACTCATTAATGAAAATTATTTAACCCAAAGCTAATTTTTCCTGCTTTAGCTTAAGGCAGCAGCAGGAGCACGCCGCAGGGCCTCCTGCTGCGACGGTGAATCCGTCCAAGATATCCTGATACGATTAGGAGATATCTGCACCAATCGCGCGGCGTCTAGGCGGAGTTAGAAACAATCGATGCTGGTGGTGGGGGACACGGGACGATCCATGGCGTCAGCAACAAGTGTTCGGCGAGATCTTCGAACGTAAACCGCAAAGTGCTAATCCAAGTCTTGGTCAAAATTGAAATGCAGATATTTTACATAAAATGAAAATTGCCTCAAAAAATTTTTTTTTTAAATATTAAATAATAAAAAAATTTAAAATATAGGTACTTAATAATTTTAAAAATATTAATGTTCGTAGGGAATTTTATGACCGGTTGGTTAATTGCCTGGCAGTAGAAGACGGTCTCTTTGAAAACAAAATAAAATACAATGTTTAGTATTATTTTATTTTTTGTTGTATTTTATTAAATAATAATCTCTATGCGTAGATATATTATCTTTACTTTTATTGTCATGTTGATATTCCAAAATTTATTTAATTTTGGTTATTTTTCATAAGCTTTGCGGGGTGTCAGGTAATACGTTGTCATCCCTTGGGGATGATAGTTGGCGCCAAAATAAGCAATTTTTTCTTTATCACTAGCATCAGTGCTACCGTTTTTGAAAAATCATAAAAATGAACTTAATTCTTAGGCATTTTTAAACGGTTGCAACCCCATGGGGTCGACGGACTAAGTAGAGTCGGAAAGTTGTTTAACTGTGGTTTATGCATATCGGTGACCAAAAAAAAACGAAAAAATTGGGGAAAAAACTGTTTTTTTTTTCGGTTTTTCCCAGGGCTTGAAAAAATAGGCTTTTTGGGAAAAATTATTTTTGGAAAATACCTATACACGTTTTAATAAAAGTAACGATCAACAACTTTATATTATTTTAATTAGAAAAAAAAACTAAACATTAAATTGAATTAATTCATTTAAGAAAATATAGAAAATATATTTTATTATGCATATGGCATGCCAATAAAAAAATACAAAAGTATTAAATAGTTCCTTGACGCCAATATTTGAAAAGATTATATAAATGTTTGTACTGAACTTTTGATTTCGCCGT